CGACATTTGAATTGAGATTAATGGTAAGAATTTCATTCTCTTATTTTAATTCATGAATAATGATTAATTTGAGTAAAATGATTATTTGTGTTGAATTCAATATGCATAGCTAATTCATTTTCACTAGGGATTGGGGAATGATTGTTCTTGTTTAATTCGCATCTCTCGGGCTTGAAATTGTTCTTTCTTATGTGAGTTGTTTCTATTAAGGATTGATAAATTCTTGCTTGATTAATTGATATAATCGAAGAGTGACACTTCGATCTTGCAGTTGGTAACAATTGAATGTTGATTAGTCGAGTTAGGGTTTCGTTGATTCTATGTGATTAGTCGATTAACACTATTCTAGTTAAATTAGCGACTTTTTGAACTGAAAGGGGAAAAGTCGTAGACTTAGGCTCACATGAGGTAGACGATGTCGTAATTGGCTAATCTACGTGTTTTAAATTGAAATACGCACTTGTTAATGACCCGTCCTTTGTTACGAAAAGTTATTGGGATTGGGATAATTGGCCTGTGTCGTATGCTCGAACTTGTCCGTCCATGTTCAATCCCTTGTTACGAAGAGTTATTGGGAGCGAACCGCTAGATGTCTAAGCGAGAGTGTCAATCTTGAACCGAACAATTGATTGCCCGATTTTGCTAGAACTTGAATTAATTATCCCCGACTCCCTAGCTTCTTTTTCATTGTTTCGTTTATCTTCTTAGGTAGGTTATTGCTTTTTATTATTTCTTAGCTGATAATTATTCATCCATCCTTATTCGATTAGAGTGTTTAGGTTTGTTTTCTTTTTATGTGTTATCGATATCAGAACTAAATTCCGAACAGCCTTCCTCGTGAGATCGACCCGGGGAACGAATCTTTAGATTCGGTACTCGGTAAAAAGAATAATTTGTACACAACAATCAGTCTAGTTCACTTGAATAAAATAATTGCTATTAAATCCGTCAACACCAGTCGATTGAACTGGTAGGATCAATACGATTTTCTAAATAAATTTGGCTATATTTAAAACTACTTTAAATAAAATTACATATTTAAATAAAATAGAGATTTATAAATTGTTTATCAATAAATTTAAATATTTGAATTTTTAAATTGTTTAGATACTTAAGTAACACAATTTATTCAAATTTATTACAATAAGTACTATATATATATATATATATATATATATATATATATGTGTGTGTCTGTGTGTGTGTGTATTAAAGTGTATTTTTAAAGAAAAAATTTAAATTGTATGATTTTTATAAATTAAATTGTACGATTATATTAGAGCGTATTTATAAATTAAATTATATGATTTTTAAAGAAAAAAATAAGAAAAATAATAAACTACTATTTATGGTTTGCATTAAATGCTGACCTATTTTTTTTACTAATTTTAGTAAATATGATGGCTCCTTATATAAGTATAGATATAGATATCCCTCCATATATATTAATTCAAACGTGTCGAGCCTAGGTGGCGTGTTCTCACAGTTCGGATGTTGACATGGCGAAAATCTATGCTTTGTGATGTTCTTTTTATATTATTTTTGCTCTGGAGTTAGGTTTGGTATTAAACATAAATAACTTTACACATATATTTATTAACTCAACACCCATGTGGTACATGAGTATTAGTACTAGTATATATAATCTCGAATGCCCTGAGCCTAAGTGACTGTTTCTAGTGCTTCAGAATCGTACTTGGCGAACAATCATGCTTCGTAATTAAGTTTAGACAAATAATATTGATACATTAATAATTAATAATATAGGTTCGGACATTTCATAAATATTATTTAGCTAACATAGGTATTTTAACATCACTTGTACTAATATAACCCTTTTATTCTTTGTAATTTTACATAGTGAGACACTAAGTGACTAATATATCCATGACTTTTGATTTGCTTCCTTCAATTATCTATTTTATTGTAAATGTATTCTAAAAGTTGATAATTTTTGTATTTCTTATCGGTTTTACCTATATAATATATCAAGTTAATCATCTTTTGACGATCTTCGATTTGACATCCATATCGTATATATGCAATAAATAAATTATATTTATTTTATAATAATAAAAAATAATAATAATATTAAAATTCATTAGAAAAATAAAATTATTTCTCAATTGATATATTTATGTTTAATGTAGTTATATGTTGTAAGTTAAAAAAATTATTATAATATAATACATGTAAGTCACACAATAAAAAGTGACATACTAAATATATAATAATATATATATTTTAATAAAAGGTATTTAAATTTTTAACTACTTTTCTCATTAACTTTAGATTTGAAGGAAAAAATTAGCCATCATATGTGTAATACACGGACGTTGTACTAGTTTTTACACTATTGTGTTTGTTAAACAAAATAAAATGCTAAGACTCAATTAGATTTTTTTTTTTTTTGGTTTATTTATTTGTTATTCGTTAATAATTATAAATGAGTTAAGCACACAACCTCGTTTAGTTAGAGAGTTGAGCTCAACTAGATTAGGCCTCGAGTTTGAGAAGCTCGAAGTCAAACACAATTCAACTCATCTACAAAATAAAAAGTGTTATTCTACCTGAAAACTTATTTT